GCAGCAATGGCGGCGGCGGCGGGGCAGGGTGCGGGGGGCGCCGCCGAGGAGGCGTTTCTCACCTTCTACAGCGAGGTACCGGGACCGGGACCGGGCCCCACGCCGAGCCAAGGCCCCCGCGCCCCGCGCGTCTGCGGCCTCCGCGCTGGGCGGCTGGAGACCGGAGCGGGGGGGGGGGGAGCGGAACCGGAACTAGAGGCGGGGGAGGTTCTGGCCCGTTTCTGGCCCGTTTCTGGCCCGTTTCTGGCCCGTTTCTGGTGCTGCCCCCGCGGCGCGGCCCCGCTCGCGTTTCCGCGGGAGAACCGGCGCCCCGCGCGCCCTTTGCGCTTCCCCGTCCCGCGCGCTCCGCCCGGGCGCCGCGGGGGCTGCCCCGAACGAGGCCAACGAGCGCGAAAACGGAGGCGAAACGGGCAGCGCCGGGAGAAACCTGCCGTGCGCTGAGCCCCGCGCGGCGGGACGCGGCTCAGGGCCCGGCCCGCCACGGGGCTAACGGCGATAATTGGAGAGGCACCTAAGGAATCACCACGGCGGGAGGGAGGTTGGGGCGCTCGGCGCTCGCGCAGCCCTTGCCGGAGACACGAAGGGGTTTCCTGACCTTCTGTAGCTGGAACACAGCGCTGGGGACGGCATCGTGCTGCGGACAAGGTGGAAACCGCGCGCTGGCGTTGCCCGAGGGAGACAGGGCCGCGGAGCAGGCGGCGGGGCTGCCCGGGGCCGTGGCGCTCGGGGGTGAGCGCCGCGAGAGCGGCCGAGCACGCCCTCGCCCTCGCTGAACCCGAGCTTCTCTYCTTCTTCAGGTGAAGCAGATCGAGAAGCGAGACTCGGTTTTAACGTCAAAAAACCAAATTGACAGGCTCACCCGACCTGGATCTTCGTATTTCAACCTGAACCCCTTTGAGGTTGGTCTGAGCATCTCGTTCTTCCTTTTGACTTGGTCACGGCAACCTCCTGCTTTATTGGGTGTTTGTTTCAATAAAAAGACCGAATGTACAAGATGTAGATGTAGATTTACTGTGGTCAGGGCTTAGAAAACACAGAAGAACAGAGGGCAGGTGCTTGCTCCTCTYCCTGGTTGTGATGCAAGCTGAGCACCTTGGGCACCCTTCCTCGTGCAACAGCAGTTTGTGGCAGATCAGTGCCTAGCGCTTCTTGAGAGGAAACGTTAACAGCCCCAGGTGACATCCCGCTTGCCAGGTGCTGCTCCCAACGCTCCTGGCTCTGYCTTTCTGCCTGCGCCTTCTGTTTTGGACATTTGTGGTACTGAAAGTGTGCAGCACGTTGAACGAGAAAGGTCAGTACCCCAGAGCGATCTTTAAGGAGCCCCAGGAAAGCAGGTGGTTCCTTTCTGTTTCGGTAGGGTTTCATTGCGGTTGCAGTCAGTTATAAGCCTCTGTAAATCAGGATAGATTCTCAAAAAGAAAGACTGAGGAAGAGCAGCACATAGAACAGAATCTGACATTCCACTGCAGCTGTTTTTTCATATGGGTGTTCCTTATATATAAATAATCCTGCTCAGCTGCCTCTTTGATCCTCAGATGTTCAGCTTTTTGTAGCCTGGTACAAGGCTGGTCAGCCCCTTCAGATCAGCCGGCAATTTGCCCCTGACACGGTTGGTTATGTGGAGAATCTTATTGCCTTGGAGAGGCAAGAAAACCCTTTACAAGGAGTCAGCTCCTCTCCTGAAGGTGTTTGTTGTTCTGTGGGGTTTTGCCTTGCTGTTTTTGCAGGTTCTTAGTGTCAGACCTGCATGCCTCCACACTGAGTTAGCTTAGTGCAGATGTACGTAGGTCAGACATTAATGCTCAGTAATTGGTTCGGTAAAGTAATTCATAAAAGAGTTCTTAAACTTTGCCACATTTCTAAGTATCTCCACCTAGACAAATGAGTTCATTCATGGAGAACAACCAGTAGAATTCTTCTGCCTTTTCTGCMAATTCTTCTGTTTCTCTTAAAACAGAAACATGAAGAAAATAGTGTGTTTCTTGCCCCAAGTTCTCAGTTATGAATCATGCAGCGGTGTCTCAAAGCCACCCCCCGCTCAGCTTCCATTTCCGCTGATGTGGTGTAAGGTTTAGGCCTAAGGTGGCTATTTAGGGATGGCAGCTGCCTATCCAAAACTCAGGRATGGAAAGGTCCCTAGAATATTGTTGTTAAAACTAGATGCTATTGTTATTGTTTGTTGTTATTGTTGTTAGAAGTATTGTTGTTAAAAGTAGAATGTCCCAAGTATGGCATCCTTTTAAAATGTTTCCATGTCCGTAGGTGAAAATTCAAATCCCAAAGCAGCTCCCTGATGGTGGGAAGCTCGCTGGCTTTGTGTCTACAAACGGAGCGTTCAGGCTGCCCGGRGTCTGAAAAAAGGTGCCTGTCCTCAAACTTGCTCTGTTGTCTCGGTCTCTTTTAGGTTCTGCAAATGGATCCGGAAGCCACAGACGAAGAGATAAAGAAAAGGTTCCGGCAGGTACTTGGCTTTTGCCCTGGAAGCCTTTGGAGAGGAGAAGCTCAGTAAAGACTAGTCGGTCATGTTTGCAAACAAGCGAAGTAGTAATAAAGCTATGTTTGGATACTTTGGTTTTGAGGAAGAAATACATAGAACAGTCTTTGTACCAACCATGTGAGAGCTGCAGGAGTGTTTCTGACCTGTGCACAGTGGGGCTGCTTCTCCTACAACGTGACCACGCTAGTACAAATTGATATCCCATACGCAATCCTTGTTGAATGTACTGTATTGGCCTAAAGAAAAGGAGAAAATCGCTCGGAAATTAAGATCTCAAACAAAAGTTTGACTCAAATATAGGGGCCACGTTCCAGAAATAGATTTTCTGTGAAATGTCTTCAATACTTTGGGTGCGTGTTCTTCGTTGCTGGGTTACCTGTGAGAGCAGCAGCCCTCTCCTCGCTGACGCCTGCCTTATTCTGTAGCTTTTCAATGTAGTAACGCCGGGTGACCTGCAGGGGAGGAGGGGACAAACAGAAAGAGTTTTGTCAGTGCCTCCAGCAAAGAAATACAGTGTAAAGAAAAAACAGTTACTGGCTGTAGCTAAGCRCTGAGTGAATCAGGTAAACATGAGTGGGGGCTGAGCTTTGTGGATTTGTTTCTACTCAAGACTAAGGACGCATAATGGTCTAGTGGACTGATAGCTTCATATCAGCCCTAGACTACTGCATTTCAAAGCTTTTTTTATTGTTCTGTAGATCCAAAGGTGTGGCTTTTTTTTGGAGCTGCAGATGTACTTGATTTTTCTCCGTAAAGCCTCTGCTGAGGCGAGTGTGGTCGCCTTCCTTGCCTGTTTGCAATGGAGCGTGATCCCTTAAGATTCCCCCTGTCTGTGACTGTTTGTCCCCTCTGACAGAAATCTCTGGAATATTATTTATTTTTTAGAATGGTCTTACTAGCAAGATCCTTTTCCTTGCAGTTATCAATACTGGTACATCCGGACAAAAATCAAGATGATGCGGATAGAGCCCAGAAGGCCTTTGAAGGTAACGCCCTCACAATTCCTTAGGGATTGCTGTGTGGTAGTGGTTGCTCTGGTGCTTTTCTGCAGCTGGTTTAAATGGTTTATTGGAGCTCGAGGCCGCGGAGCTGTTGCTGGGCTGGGGTGACATTTCAGCGGCACAATGTCACTAGGTGGCAGTCAGAGCTCCTGGAGATAAACCTGTCCCGTAACGTGTATAGGTTGTTCAAGACAAACTGTTTAATTCAGGCATTAGACTTTATTCAAAGGCCACAGGCCAGCAAACGTTTTGACTTGTGCTTTGTGTTATTGCAGGGAGTCGCACAGCTTAAACCTTCCTCGTGCTTGGTAACTTTTAGCTGACATTTGCCCCCTGCCAACTGCAGGATGGTCTGTCTTTGCTGAACTGCAGAGCTCATCTGAAATATCATCTTGTTGCTTGCCTAAATGTATTCAGAATAATAATAAAAGCCCGAGGAAGCAAAGTTGAGGGGGTACAAGGAACAGTCTTGCACCGCTCTGTAAGCSTGGCTGCCGATGCAATTAATGTTCATGCTTTCCATTAGCTGTAGATAAAGCGTACAAGTTGCTACTAGATCAAGAGCAAAAGAAGAGGGCCTTGGATGTGATACAGGCAGGAAAAGAGTATGTGGAACATACTGTAAGTATTCCATAGGAATCGCCATGAGTGGGTCATCAGGCCTGTGCAATTTGCTTTGATTTTTGACATGTGCGGTATGTTTAGATTATTAAAACAAGGCTGTGCAATTGGACTGGGAGTCTTTATGTGGGATCACTACTGAACTCCCTGCAGGATAAATCATTGAAATTCAGTACTTGCAATAATTACATTAGACCATGTGATTCAACCTAAGTATTTCTTTTGAACCTGTGAGTGAGTGATGCAGATCAAATGTGTGTARGTGGAAGAAAATAGGTGGTGACAGTGAGAGACTGGGAAACTTGGGGGGAAATGACCTATAAGCTAAGGAAGGGAGCTAGGATTACACTAGCCAAGAAGTTCATTGAGTGATATGAGCAAACTAAAACACAAAAAAAAAACGTGATAAATGACATGATATGGGAGAACTTGAATCCTCTAAACCAAGAACCACTTTTGTGCTTTGCTTATGTTGTTAGTTTTTCAAATATTACAAAGCAAAAGGAACTTCCTTCTGGTTTGGATGTTGCATATTGGATATAAATATATCCTTTTTAAAATAAACAAATACAGATTCCAACCGGAGGGATTGTGTTACAGGAGTAGCGCCTAATACAGTGGTTTTAATTATTAGAGGGCAGGTACAAATGGTGTTGTATGTGTCTACATAGAACTAGGGCCAGGTATTTTGGATCTAAAATAAACCGTGATCCAAATCAATATCTTGCTGTCATCTTTAGCTCTTATACAATGAAGAATGCAGACATCCTGAGGTACTATGTTATAAGCCATGTAACAGTTGGGAGACTCTTTTTGTTCTATAGGTGAAAGAAAAAAGGAAGCAGTTGAAGAAGGATGGAAAACCTCCCATTGTGGAAGAGGATGATCCTGAAGTTGTAAGTTGCATGCTGCTGAACGAGGCTGGGGGTTGCACTGCACTTCTGCAGAATGTTTCAAGAACTTGGGAATCAAAGCCAAGCAGAACAGTTTTTTTTTTAGATTTGCTCTAATATTGCAAGTCCTGTGACTTGCTGAAAAACAAAGCCTGCAACGTTATTGTGGAAGTGTTGCGCTGGGTAATACTCATGTGTTTTAGAAAGCAGTTTAAGGKTTTTTTTGTGAGATGATGTGCACCAAAGTATTCAGATTCTTTTCAGGAAGCAAGTTTTTACTTCTGCTGCATCATGGTCTTTTGGGGGGGTCCTTTTTTTTTTTTTTTCCCCCTCCCCTGCAACTGTACATTGAATGCTTGGAATTGCAGCATTTTCATTTTTCCTGCCAACAACAGCATGTATAGAACCTACAGCAGCTTGTGTAATATATTCCCTTACTGATGTTCTGTAACAAGACCTSTCCAGGGTGGGTTTCCTTTACAGCATTTGATTTGTGCCGTTCTGCAGCAAACCATTTGCTCAAAAGGCATGACACAAGAGGAGTTCTTTCCCAGTTCCTAGTCAAGTGGTGCTAGGTTAGGTGATTCTCAAACACTGACATTGTTAGGCTTATTGGCTTCACCCTTTTCCTGTAAAACATTTTTTCTCTTGACAATCTTTTTTTTTTCCCCCACTGATTTTTAGAAGTTGCTGTTCTTTATCAATAAAATTGGTTTTTAAGTATACTCATATTTTCCACTAGAAACCTAGTTTTAGACTGTTGCAACATCAAGAAGATCTGTGAAGATCTGCTGGAAATTTATCATTTAAACAGCAGCTGTTTGTCCTTTGTATTGAGTCAAGTTTTGGGGTGTTGCAAGACACAATAGAAGGATAAGGGAGCTTGAACTAAAGGTTTATGCCCAGTTTTTGTGAGTAGCAGGTGGAGGGAGCCTTTAGTAGCATGACATGCAGTTGTTTCTAAGTTTGTGACCCAGAATTTATTCAGCAGTGTTTTATAACTTTTCCTATGCCTCTCCTACTTGTTTCTCTCAGAGTGGGGTGTGGGATTATGTGGGCRTACATATTCTTTACATATTCTTCTTCTATTCTCACATAAAACAGACTTCTCTAATTGTGTTACTGTGCGTTACTTTGAGACCACATTTGTGTTTTCCAGTTCAAACAGGCTGTGTACAAACAGACCATGAAGCTGTTTGCTGAGCTGGAAATAAAGAGGAAAGAACGAGAAGCTAAAGAAATGCACGAAAGGTATGAGCAGCATTTTGGGCAGTTCAGCCTTTCAGTCACCCCTCCTGTTTCCTCYGAGAAGATTAAAAACGGCAGCATTATAGAAAAGCCTGAGTTGAAAGGGACCCCCTAGATCATCTGGTCCAACCTGCTGCTGAAAGCAGAGCCTTGGTTTAGGGCATTAAGATCCCTATCAAGCTGAGCCTGACTGTTTTCAGAGAGGGAGATTTCACCACGTCTCTGAGTACTCCTGTTGGCTTCAGAGCTCTGTGTCTGACAGATGCCTGTTGGAAATCTGGCCTCCTGTATTTAGGTGTGTCTCATTCTTACCTTGCATGGTAGGTTTATTACCTTGCATGATAAATTTATTAACCTTAAAACATGTGCTCTCAACAATTTTAGCAACTTATCACTTCAGAGACTGAGAGCTTGACAAAGGCTCCATGCACAAGAAGAGCTGCTTCACTGATCTAATATACAGGTCCCAACCGCCTTCTCTGCTCACTGCTCACCTCAGTTTGAAGTGAATTCTTATTTGGTGTGTTGTCTGAAGTGTTTTATGTAGAGGGTGCCCGTTTCTCTTCTGATGAGCACTTTTATCTGGCAGGCAATCAGAAGAGCTACCGAGGATGTTCCGAGCGCATTGCGTGTTTCTTTAATGTAGATACTTGTGGGTTCATAACTGCTTTGTGATCTGCCTTCCAGGAAGCGGCAGAGGGAAGAGGAAATTGAGGCCCAGGAGAAAGCTAAACGAGAGCGAGAATGGCAAAAGAACTTTGAGGTAATCGGCAGCTTAGTGGGATCACAGTGACAACCCGGGTGCCTCAGCAATTCTCAGCTGTGCCCTAGAGAAAAGTCCTAAAGAAAAGAAAAAGAAAAAAAGCCCTAGAAAAAAGAAAAGCTTCCTGGCTGGAGGTGCTATAATATGGCTTAAATAGAGATGTAGTAAAAGATCCTAGGAAGCCCCTTCCACYCCATGTTTGAGGTTTGTTATCCAGCAGAGGTGTAGCCCCGTGGCAGGAACTACCTGGAAGGGTTGCAGAAAAGCTGTTAATGAGGTTGTGGAGACCTCCTGGAAAAAATCAGCTTCGTTGTTGTGTGCGAGGACGTGTGAGCAGACGTTGCAAGAGGAAACAGCCTCTGCTGAGCTGTTGCAGTGCCTGTGTTTCCCCAGCCATTTCTAGCAGCTAAACTGCTGCACTTGCAACTCTCTTCTCCAGCCTTATCAGTGACTCTTTAAGCTATGTGAAAAGATCGTATCAAAGCCAGGTGTTAATGCTGAAAATAGATTGCCTAGGTATATAAGAATAGAAAACTTGCTGCTGCTGCTGACTGACAGAGAGAGGATGACAAAAATAGCTCATGAATTCTTGGTTGCTCCTGCCTGTGGGTGGTTCTTGTTTGTGAGAATGAGAATTCTGAGTCAGAGCAGCTTTTTGTGTGTCCCAGTTGAAAACAAAACCCTGTTCCTTCAAGGTCCTCATGATGAACCTCTGCATAGGTGTTCTGTGGTTCGTGGCTCCTGTGTTGGTTTGGTTTCTGTGGGTGTGGATCACACACTTCAGCGTGGATTTCCCCTGGACTTGTTCTGTCCTGATGTCTGAACCTTCAGCCTCTGGGAAGGATGTGCGGGCTCCTTTGCTGAGTCCTGTCTCTTCGGGAAGGGTTTCTGCTACTCCCCAGAGAGATGAGGGAGAAAAGAGGGAGAAAGGACATTTTCTTACTGTCCCTGTGTCTCAAGAAGCGCGAAATAAGCCAGCAGTACACTTCCTTTCTCATATTTCCCCCTGCCTTCAAGCTGCAGCACAAAGAGGTGTCACAAGGATGTGACACTGAGTTACGGAAAGGGCAAGTTTGAGGCTAGTAGCGTGGAAGCATCTTTTGGAAAAGAGGATTCTTGTTGTTCAGCACAACAGAGGGTTCAGTAGGCTACGGTCAGGACTGCATCTCCGAAGCAACCAGCTTGGGAAACAAGAAAATTCTGCCCACGCTGGGGCTTGTGAGCTCAGCTGTACCTCCACTGCCCCGCGCTGCACACTGTGTGTGTCCTGGCTGCCAGGGTGCTGCCGCGTGCTGGGTAAGGAGCAGATTGCTGCTGATCTCTTGCAAATGGCCCCCACAGTCTGTTCTCTGACTCTGGCCCTTGTCAACCCTCCCCTTCCTCTCTGTTGTCCCCAGGAAAGTCGGGATGGTCGTGTGGACAGCTGGAGAAATTTCCAGGCAAATACAAAGGGGAAGAAAGAAAAGAAAAACAGGACCTTCCTGAGGCCTCCCAAAGTAAAAATGGAGCAGCGTGAATGATCCTGGCAGCACTGCCCAAGTGCGGCTCCTCAGTCCCCTCCCTGCTTTTAAGGACTCATTGGCACCTAGAGTAAGAATAGCTTTTTAGTAGACCGTTTGTTTCCAGTACGATTAATTATTGGTCAAAGTATTTTTTTGTACTCTGTCCATTTGAACTAGGGCCATAATGTGACCTTGGCCAGGAACCCGCTATGCGTAGAGCACTTGGCTTAGGAGGGTCTGCCGTTAYTGCTGTCCCATGTGTCTGCTGCCCTGTAACTCGGTGTTTTGTACTTCCCACATTGTGCTGTTTCACCTCTTTCCTTTCTAGTTTGAGAGCTGAACAAAATGTCTGAAACGCATCAGTCCTTTTTCCAGGCGTCGTTTTTCTCGGCCAGTCCGGCTTTGGAAAGATCCAGGCTGGCTCTGGGAATCCGCTTCCAGCACCGTGCAGCTCCTCACCGAGCCCACGGTGCTTGGAAAACACCATCCCTACTCCCAGCCCTGAGATCTGGTTTCCAAACGAAAATCCCGGCTCTCAGGCTTAGAGTTCTGTTAATCTCAGACGAGCTGGTCTTTCCTGTAAAGCAAAAATAACTTCTCTTGATGATGAATAGTTAGTTGCAATGGTCTGTATGTAAAATAAATTTTTACCCAAGTTATTGGGTTCTTGCTTAGAATTCTTCAAAGATGCAGCTGCAAGGGTGTGAGTTGGGTGCATGGTGCTGAGAGGTTATCGGTGCTCGGCATGGATGTTTTCCCTTGCGTGTGTTTTATATATGCAGAAGATAATCGGCTCTTTGAAGGGGTTTAAAGTGACATGTACTCAAAATACCCATGTTCCTGGCAGATTCCTCTGGAGACCTTGACACAACCTTGTGCCTTGGGCCACGAGGGCAGCGCCCATGCCGGGGTCCGGTGGGAGCTGCGGCTGCAGAGATGCTGCTTTCCCTTCAGATGGCCTAGGACCTGCCCACCCAGCACACTGACCCTTCCTCACGTCTTTTCTGTGCAGCTTTGCTCATCACTTGCTCTAGAAAAGTGTGCTCGGTGGCTGAAGTCACTGGTCGTCCCTCCGCGCTCYGAGTCATTTTTTCCAGAGGTACAACTTGGCTGGGGAAGCCAAAAGTGCAGCTTATAACAACACTGCTTCGTTCTGAATTCAGCTGGCCCTGTTTCTTCCCGTCCTGTCTATCATATATATTTATATGGCAAAAAACGCAGTTATTTCCTCATCGTACCTACCCGGTTCAGTCCCTCGAAACTTCCCACCAACAGCAGGACCTGTCGCTTCACTGCGTGTTCCTCCCCCCCACTACAGGGACCCTGATTTTGGTCCCTGCGTTCGGGCTTTGGGGAAGGAAACGGCCTCCCCGTAGGTGGAAGTCGGAAGCGGCGCAGCCTGCATCCCCGCAGCGGCCACGGGCTCAACGAGGCCTCGCTGGTCCTCGGTAGTCAGAGAGAGGGTAAGGGCTAAAACACTCGGAGTCTCGAGGCTTCCTTCCTTCCATGGAGATGTTCTCGGGCCAGTGGTCCTCCAGGACAAAAGTGATTTGGCCTTAATATGCCGGACAAGAAAATACATTGGTAGAAATTTCCTTTTTCCTTAGGGGAAGAGACAAAGTATCAGATAACTATAGAAACAGTCAGCTTTAGCTTTCTTGGCTTGATTTTTCTGTGAAAATAGCCTGTCCTCCTTGATCAGCTTCCACAGAACTTATATTGAGGCCTTTTCAAGCCCAGCCTAGTGCTGAAGTTGAAAGGGAAGCTGCAGCAGGAATCTGCTCCCTTGAGGTTTCAAGGGCCCGGGTTTGGGCCCTTCCCCTCTGGTACCACTTTGCAGCCCAGGGGCACCCTGAGAGGCGCAGCTGGGCCTGGCTCTCCATCTCACCAGGTATAGACCAGACACGTTTTCTGTCTAGTCAAACCTAATGTGGTTTTGATAAAAACTACAATGGGAGAGTCTGTATGATAAGCTAGAAAGGAAACTCCTCCCTGATAAGACACTGGACAGTTATGTAACATTTATCTCGGTTCTGTGAAGATGGGGTGAGCTCCTCGTTAGATGCTGCTTCTCAGGAACCATCTCTTAGTCACTTGGGCACAGAGGTAACTAAAGACATGAAATGCTGTTGTCAAAGACACAGCGTGAAATGGGAAACAGTGTCTTCCTCCCTATAAAGCCATGCTGTGCACATGCCTTACAGTTCACATAACTGCCAATTTATATATATGCTTAACTGTATATCCTTTTGTAAGCAATATGTCACAGCCAGCAATGGGACAGAGGAGAAGCAGAACATCAAAAGCTGTGGCCTTGCTTCCGCTCCATTCCTACAGCTGAGAACAAGAGGTTAGGAGATAATATCAGCAAGAAATAAGCTGAAAAGAAAAAAAACATACTCCTGCAGTGGATTATAAACTCCACAGTTGAGTTTGAGGCCAAAAGYGTCTAATAATTTTTAATACGTGTAAGTGTTCACATTAATTTCCTCAAGCTATTTAAGGAATTCAGTGCCCGAGCTAGGTGCGGAGRTCTCTGCCATGCGGGGGAGGCTGCTGCTAGCTACTGAGGATGACTACAGGTAGGGGAGATTTGTTAGTGTGAGGTTACGGAGGGAGACCTGGAGATTTCAGAATATTTCAGAATATTTAAGGTTGGAAGGGACCTCTAYAGATCATCTAGTCCAACCTTCCTGCTCAAGCAGGCACACCTAGAGCATGTGGCACAGGGTGGCATCCAGGCGGGTTTTGAAGACCTCCAGAGTAGGAGACTCCACAACCTCCCTGGGCAGCCTGTTCCACTGCTCTGTCACCCTMACAGTAAAGAAGTTGCTCCTCACCTGGAGACGGAACTTCTTATGCTYCAGYTTGTGGCCATTACCCCTCGTCCTATCGCTGGCCACCAGTGAGAACAGCCTGTCCCCTTCCTCCCTGCATTCTCCCTTCCTGAACTTAGACATATTAATCATATCCCCTCTGAGCCGTCTCTTCTCCAGAGAAAACAGGCCCAGCTCRCTCAGCCTCTCTTCATACAAGAGATGTTCCATTCCCTTAATCATCCTGGTTGCCCTTCTCTGGACCCTCTCCAGAAGCTCCACGTCCCTCCTATACTGGGGTGCCCAGAACTGAACACAGTACTSCAGGTGCGAAGATAAAGGCCAAGCCCCTTGCTCTTCCTCCCAATGACAGTTCCTTTTGCTGCCTCTTCTCTGTCTTCTTCAAGCAACTGAAATTCTAGAGAAACGGCGAGCTTGGGCTTAGACCAGGAAGCTTCTTTCTGAAGAGCTGGGCTCTTGCGTTTCTGTTATCTGGAATAAAACAGGTATCTGAGCTTCCCTTTTCTCTTCAGAACTGTGCGTGAGCTCTCCGAAGCTGCTGCCAAGGCCTCTTCCTGCCCACGGAAGCTGCAGTGTGCGAAGAATCCCCAGACARAAAGGGCTGCAGGCCGCTGTCTTGTGCAGCCCTGCAGTCGTTAGTCACTACACAGGTGGGTTTGGACCCTCCTCATGCTGTGTTTTGTGGAGCTCCTGTTGTCCTTGCGCCTCCTGACCCTTCTCTTCTGAGCTCTGTGTGCAGCTCCCTGAAAGGCAGAGCTGCTGGCGCCCTGGCATGGGCAGAGGTGCCGCTCCCGCCGTGATCTCGGCATTTGCTCCTCGCTTACATCTAAGGTAGAGCTGAGCTGTCAGACCCTTCTGCTGGAGCAGCGGTGGCCTTTCTGTCAGCAGGCCGCCTGCCAAGGCGCTTTGGACTTCCAAGGCATGGCAGGAATTGGGTCCTTCATTTCTAAGAGGAACTGCGTGCTCGGGTATGATCAGAAGCGGTTCTGCCACATTGCGCATCTCTCTGCCAGCCAACTTCATTTGTTTTGGACTTTCTGGACTATCCACTTGTCCGGCAGCAGGGAAGTCCAGAAAGAGCATCAACGTTAAGGCAGATGTGAATATTAATGCTAAACTGAAGGGCAAAGCCTAGTGCTTCAGAGCCACCATCACAGAATGATAGAATCCTTAAGGTTGGAAGGGACCTTTAGAGATGATCTAGTCCAACCCCACTGTCCATGTTCTCACCTGAGTAGACAAGGACTCAACCTGAAGAGAATCCAGGTGATTTGTCAGCTGTGTCCTTGGGTCTGGTCTAACTTCCACCCTTCTGGGCGCTCTTGTCGCCCTTTATCTGCCTCTCCCTTGGGACCTGCTGCGGCTCRTGAGCGTCGCAGGGCCTCTCTGCTGGCCCTGCTCCATCCCCACGTCCCTTTAGAGCTGGACGCGCTATTTCAGGTCCAGCATCAGCAGCGCCAAGCAAGGCTGATGTTACCTGTCCTCAACCTGCTGGTCGTCCTGCTCGTAACACGGCCTTGTTGGCAACACAATCGAAGGGCCTCCAGTTGGGCTGGTTCAGCTTGGTGCGTGGGTGACAGCTTTTTGGCTTGGAAACATGGAATCCTGGAGCATCTCCAGGTTGTGGTTATCCGGCCCCTCGGGGCTGGCTCTGCTCAGAAACCTGCTTCCTTCTCTGCGAACGCTCATGTCGCCCCTTAGGGAAGAGAAAGCAGCAGCATTTCCTGGTGAAGTGCTGCGCGGCGCGGGGAGGTGGAGCAGCCGGGATCATCCCCGGCGGTTGGGACATCCCCTGCGAGTGACTCGCACAAATACTGCACCGGTGACTTCATGGGTGCCAGGGCCGTGTGGGGAAAACCCCCCGGGAAAGCTGGGCCGTGGAGCGGGCCCGGGAGCGAGGAGAGCCACAGCACGTCCTCTCTGCCCCTTGAGCCCAGCTGCGGCGGGGCACCAGCGCGAGAAGGGGCGAAGCTTAACTTGATGAGGAGYGCAACGTCACCGTGCTGCTTCCCGGGGCAAGGAGTGCGGCTGGCACGGCGGGCGAGCGCTTCTGGCCGGTGCTCCGGGGCCCGCGGGCAGCCCCTGCCGTGGGGTCTGCAGCGCCCGGTGCAGCGCCCTGGGGAGTCTGAACAAGCGCCAGGAAGGAACGGGGGGAAGCGACAGGCTCGCTGCTCCCCCTGTGCCCGCAGCCCTCGCGGGGCCTTCTCCGCAGCTTCCTCACGGCCTCCGAGGAAGGCGGGAGGGTCACAGGAATGGAATCAGGGTCGAGCCCCGGATCCCCAGGGCTCGGCTTGGGCACGTCCCAAGAGTGTTGCAACTGCTGAGAGGGAAGTGACTCATTCACTCACCCACTCATTCACCTGAGCGCGGAGCGCCCTCCGTGCCCGTGCGGCCCTTTCCTCCTGCTCCTGCCGGCACATCCACCTCCTGGACACGCGTGGGGCCTGGCCCTGCTGCTGCCTCAGCCTCAGAGGGAGCCCGTGCGTTGGGTGCTGCCGGCCCGGGTGCTCCATGACCGCCAGGTAAGAGGATCCGTCCTGTTCCCTCCGCTCCCACGGCGCTGCCTTCCCGCCCGAGCGCCGGCTGCTGCTGCGTCTCCGGCAGCCTGCCACGCACGTCCTGCCCCGCAGCTTCACACAGCGCCGGGGCTGCCGGCGGGAAGGGCTCCCCTCTGGGAAGCCGCGTCTGCTCCCTGCCTTTCCCCCCACTGATTCCGACACATCCTGATGTGGAAAATGCAGCTCTGACAGGCTGAAAAGGCTCCAGCAGAGYAAAGTTTCTTGCAATGCGTGTCGAGGTGGCGACTTCAGAGACGTTTCTGCGCTGCTGCCTGGGGCCGCGCTGGCGATGCCTGCGAGAGCGTGCTAGGAGCCTCCGCAGCCTCCCCGCGCACCCTCGCAGCGCAGAAGTGGCTGCTCACGTGGCGATGGAGCTGCCTGGGTTTCACCTTGTCCCCGTTGCCCCTTGTGCTGCTGGTTGTGCTCTGCTCTCGCCGCCGCCGCTGTGCTGAGGAGCCCCTGGCCGTCAAGGCTGGAGCGGGGTTTCCTGCCCAGAGGGGCCCTTAACCGTGACCTGCGTTTTAAGGGAGATGGGAGGCGACCACGGGTGGGTTGGGGCCTTCAGACACTGGGCAAGTGCCAGCAGCTGCTCTTTGGGACCTGTCCTGCTCCCTGCTTCATTCACCGGTGCTACGTAAACCTGGATCCCAACAGTGGGAGCCCCTGGGGGGATCCCAGCGATGACGATGATGGGAGGAAGCAGCAAAACTCTGCCCTGCTTCCCTGCAGCTTCCCCGTGACTGCCGGGACACAGCACCGCTCCTGCCCCAAGCAGCATCCCGGGGGCACGGGCACATCCCTGCAGCCTGGATAAGAAGGTGCTGACCCACGAGGACAGTGCACTTAGCTCCAGCTGCTGGCCCCTCTGCCTCCAAGGAAGCCATCCCGACGCCGGGCATGGGCGCTGGGGACGGGCACCGGCGGGCTCGGCAGCTTGCTGGCTGCTTGGCCCCAGAGCCAGCACCTCGTGCCGCAGTAACACCGCTAATGCTGCCTTGTTTTGCATGGACTTGCGTGTCTTGTTTTACTGCCATTCAGTGCTTCCTTAGCAGCAGCCAGGCTGCCCCTGGGCCGCAGGCAGGGAATAGCCCAGGAAGGCGCCAGCAGGAGCTGCCCTGCACAAGGATGGGACGCGCAGGAAGAGGCGCGGAGTCGTCCGGGAGGGAGGAACGGGGCTCTTCTTCCCCTTCCCGAGCAGCGGCGGATCCGGCAGCTCTGAACGTGGGCTGCCTCCTGCTTTCCATGCTTTGAAGGCAACAGCTGGAAGTGGAAATGGGGAGGAAGGGAATCCCCACGGAGCCAAGAGCTGGAGCGGTGCCAGGCGACGGGAGGCTCATCCACGGGCACACCCATCCCCTGCTGCCTTTCCTTTACCTTTACCTGCCTCTGGGCTCGCCGGGTTTCACAACAGAGCCTCTCCAGCCCCTGACAGCCGGGGCTGAGAGCGCTGCCGGGGCCGCGTGGGGCTGCGCGGAGCAGGGCTGCGGGCTGCTGCCGGCAACCCCTCCCTGGGCCACAACCTCCCGGCTTTTCGCTTCCTCCCGCAGCTTGGCGGCAACAGGGCAGCCGGACAGCCTCTGCTAACACCCTCCTTCCCCGTGACACCAAGACAACGACGTCCCCACTGGCTTTCCTTCCGAAGCCGCGGCGGGCCGCTGGCCAAGCTCGTTAGCGTGCTTTTATTGTGTTCTTAATTGCACAACATGGGCTCACCCACACAGGGGCAGCGGGGTTGGATCCAGGAGCGGCAGGTCCAAATGCCAGTTCTGAGGGGTCGGGAGTTGGGATGGGGCGTTTCGGTGGAGCAGCCCCTGACGACGGCGCTCTGGTGCATCTGGGACCGAAGATCCCGGAGATAAAAAGGCACTCGGTCCAGCTGTGTGCCCAGCTCCGCTTAACCCTGCACAAGCGCAAAGGAATCACAGTTTGTCCATGGGATTCACAAGTTTTCTGGTGCTTCCTTTTCTTGCAGTTATTAAGTCAGCGCATTCCCAGCGTGTGCCATTCAACGGTTCAGAAGGATGTCCAAATATTTTTCAGTCCTTGATCTAACCAGGGACAGGGAGTGGACTCCCATTTGGTGTTTAGAGAAGAACCCCAACTTATCTCTCTTCCAGGATCATTAAAAGGGAGATACTTGGAGGAAATAGCTCTACGGGCTTTCCAGATCTTTTCTGCGGTTACTTGCCTTTCCTCTGCAGCTTTTTTTATTTCTCGTTTCCTTTGAGCTGATGTCAGGCGTTTCCTCTTCTCTAGTGACACTGCAGTATGCTCTGGTGTCCTGTTCTTGAGAGCTGTGTGGAGACCTTGGGGTTGCAAGGCAGATAAAAGCAGCTTGTGGAGGAGGATCGCGGACCCTGCACAGGACATCCAGCACTGCGGCACCAAGGCTGAGAATGGGCCTGTCACCCTGAGTCCATCCCACTGCGGTAAGCACAAAATAGGAGTGCTCTTCCTCCTGGAAGATGCTTTTGCTGATGGCAAAACACCCCAAGACTAATCCCACCTGGGACTAGTGCTTAGGGCAGTGGCTAGGGGCTTGGGCGAGAGGTCTGGCAAGGCAGCAAGGAGCGGCGCCCACATCCATCGCCTCGCGGCCTCATCTCCACGTGCCGTTCTCCTCCGCTGGCATGGAGCTTATTGATGTATTTTATGCAAAGAGGAGAAGGTTCAGCAGGAGAGACCGAGCCTCTCCATGCTGTACATGCTCCATGCGTGAGCCTAGAGTTTAGGACGTGTGGATACATAGGAGATGCAAGTTTGAGTTCCTCGGGCTGAAAAGGGAAGTGGGTTATTGAGTAAACTAGAGGGGTTTGGTGCCATGTTCTCTTCTAGCTGTGGTTTGTAGCATTTACGGCTTGGCAAGTGAGAAGGGAAAACCAGCTGCCTCCTGGTTTCCCGAAGGGCCCGGGCATCGGCACCGCACAGCCCAACACTGCCGTGCCGGGAGTTTTCCGGGTCCCTGTGGAGCTGCGCCCGGCATTGCTGTCTCCCCCTGCCCATTCCGCATCTTTGCCGGAGGCTTCTGCTCTGCTTGATGACATGGAGCACGTCCCGGCACCCGCCGTGCCTGTCAGAGCCCAGCAGCACGCACACGAGGGCCCTGGCACTGCGGGATGCGTGCGGGATGCGGGCACTCCTCTCCTGGTGAGCGCTGCTAGGGACACGCGCTGCCTTCCCATTTCCCCACCTCGGCAATGTTCACATCGGGGCGACACTGACACAGCACCTTTAATTTCAAAGATTCCAGCCTCAGGCACCAGAATTATTCTCTGAAAGTGGCAATTAGTGTGAACACCAGGTTGCAGATGCATAAGGTCTCTAATGGTCTTAGGTAATTAGGCCTTCATTTTCCTTCTTATTTAACAATTGACCAGTGTGTGAGCACCAGGCTCCCCGCTACCCTCTCTTGCCCATGAGTGCCTTCTCCCCTCACCCGTGTGTGCTGCAGTGCTCTGCTGCGCTGAGGGACACGGACCCTCCTGCTGGGACATGGGCCCTCTGCGAGGCGGCGGCCGAGTTGGACACGACACCTTCATTTAGGGCTGTGTGGTGTCAAACGGCGCTTTCAATACACAGGCGAGGGGGTTGAAATGGAGTTTCACTGCGTTTTACACACGTTCTCACTGTTTTACAAACGCCGGCAGCAGCAGGACCAGTCCCTGTTGGCGCCCAACAACACAGCGAGTGTTCGTTGTGTGCTAAAATGAGCAAGAACCTCAGTGCCCTTGGCCATGGCTCCCATTTACCTGGACCGGCTCCCCTGTTCCCGAGGCTTCCAGAGGGAATTAAACTCCGAGTGGTGTCAGGGGACCACTCCAGCCAGCGCCCGAGCAAGGGCGGAAAAGTGCTGCGGGGCCGGAAAAGCAGCACCTCACGGTCCGTAAGGGAGGAGCTCGAATAGCACCCGAATCCAGGGAAAAAAATTCCGTGCAGCACTGCCAGTGTAGGAGCTGGGTGTGTTCAAAGTGTCCGAGCTGAAGAAAGACTGACTGAGTGGGGACAGGGCGCACCAAAATCCCTCAGGTTTTCTCCTCCAGGCCAGCTTGCACCACAGACACAGGGAAACACGGAATTGCTCTTGCTAGAACTTGGAGTTGATGCAGAAATGGTAGAAGAATAAGAGAGGCGGAGCCGGATGAACCTGAATCCAAAAGGACGGCACAATGAGGCTTTTAAGAGAGATTTTAAGGAGGCTTTTAAGAGAGATTTAAGAGAGTTTAAGAAAAAAGAAGGAGGTCTAAGAATCAAGCTGGCATCTCATCATCACACTCATCATTTGCTCAGGAAAAAAATTGGGTGGCTACTCTGGCAGCCTATAAAGTGAGTGTGAGATCCTGCGGTGCCTTCAGCTGAGAGAACCRAACATACTCTTTACAGCTATAAGCAGTAAAATGTCAGGTAGGAATAAGTAGAAGGCAATTCTGGAAATGTGACATTTTTACTATATATTGTGTCAGTCTTGGAATTTGTGCTTTAAAAAATGTGTAGCCAAATCAGAAAGTACGAAAGAACCAGAGGGAAAAACAAACAAAACCAATGAATCTCRGTCTGTCCAGCTTGAGAGAGAGTAAGAGTTGATTTTATCTGTCGTAAGGACTTTCGTGCAGAAAAGTAACTGGAGATTGGAAAAGTAACGATGAGGAACTTTGAGAAAAGGAGATGAGAGATCTGAGGTTTGCAAAGCAGCAGGCAGCACTGGGCTAAGGTGCAAAGGCTCCTATGACATAGCAGAGAGGTTGAGGACAGCACCAAGGAGACAGGGCGTGGGCGAGAACGAATGGACGCTGGGTTTGGACTTGCTTTTGGCACCGTACTGATGAGCTGGGTTTATCTTTTACATTTTTAGGCAAGAAGAGAAGGGGTAACAGGAAATTCTGCATCAGAAGCAGCAGCTCAGCGGCACAATGTCAGGAGAGGGCAACGGTGGTGCTGCAGGCACCTCATGCCACATAGACTCTGAGTTTCGCTACACCCTCTTCACTGTCTTCTACAGCCTCATTTTCATCATGGGCTTTGTCGCCAACTGCTACGTGCTCTGGATTTTCAGCCRCATTTACCCCACCAAGAAGCTCAGTGAAATCAAGATATTCATGGTGAACCTGACGGTGGCTGACCTGCTCTTCCTGGTGACCATGCCCCTGTGGATTGTTTACTATCACCACCGTGGAAACTGGATCATGCCGGGGTTCCTCTGCAGCGTAGCTGGCTGCTTATTCTTCGTCAACACCTACGCTTCTGTGGCCTTCTTGATGGTCATCACGTATAACCGGTACCAAGCTGTGACTAATCCCATTAAGGCTGCTCAGTTCACCACGCAGAGAAGGGGTATCTACTTGTCGGCATCTATCTGGATTGTAACAGTGGGCAGCTCCTTATATTATCTTTTTGATGATAATACTAACGAGGAGAAAATCGGCTCGATGAATTTTACCCGGTGCTTTGAGTACTACAGCAACTCTGCTAGTAGCGTTCCAGCTGTTCTCGCCATTCATGTGATCATCTGCGTCCTTTTCTACGTAATTTTCCTGTTTATCTTGGGCTGGAACATCATTATCATCAGGACCCTCTTTTCGAAGTCCATGCAGCAGCGGAAGAGCGCTCACGTCAAGCAGAGGGCCCTCTGGATGGTTTGCACGGTGCTGGCTGTGTTCATCATCAGCTTTGTTCCTCATCACCTGGTGGACCTGCCCTGGACCCTCACTGTTCTGGAACAGTGGCAGAAGCACAATTGTCCCTTGCGCCAACAGCTCAATGACGCCCACCAGGTGACTTTGTGCCTCTTGAGTATGAACTGTGTGTTGGACCCGATCATCTACTGCTTTCTCACCAAGAAGTTCCAGAAGCATCTTTCAGAAAACCTGAAAAGCATGAAAGGGAGCCGCAAGTGCTCCCGGCAAACCACAGACACGATGATTGACACCGTGCACCAGGAGGAGGCCATCGGGATGTAGCGCTGCCTTGTGCTGACTGCAGAGCCTGAGATACGTGAATCAGTCACCCGCCTTTTCTCAGGACGATGCAGCAAGGCATGCAACAAAGGACCAGGACCTTACATTACCCTTTTTTTTTTCCTTTTCCCCTCGCCATTCTAAGGAAGAATGAGCACTCACACTCACTTCTTCTATCCGATGTAATTGGCAGAACTGGAACTTGTCATAGGCTGGCACAAAAGTACCTTCTGTCTTGGCTGGTTCTGTGAGCATTGAGAGCAGCGCAATCTGCTTCTGTGTGAATGAAATCTGCCCCTGACCCCTCCATGTGATGGGCTGGAGGGTGATTGCACTGCAGATAGCAGTTGTGTCAGCACGGGCAGAGCAGTCCCTGCTCCTTTGCGTGCTCAGCATCCATGAGGAACGCGGTTACAGAGCTATGGGATCTGCAGGATCTGCACGGTGCCTTTCCTGAGCAGCCTGCATGGCTCTGCAGAAAGCCTGAGCTGGGGAGGTGTGGGAATAGCTGGAAGGGACCTAATCCAAGGAGCTCCTCAGGATGCTGTCATGATGGCATCCCTGGCTCCTACTCTGTGTAACCTGCAGGGTCCATACGTGGTGTATTGTGAACGTTTGCCTCTGCTCCCAGCTCCTGAATCAGAGGCAAGAAAAGGAAGAGAAACTGGCAGTGCCTGAGGACTCAGGCCCTGTCTCCAAAAAGGCACCATGCCTGGAGGGCACTACTGTCTGCCCTGGCTTCCTCAGTGGTGGCAAATGGACAGGCAAGGGCCTCCGGCACGCAGAAATTCAGGTCGTAAATTCAGAAATTTTCAGCCTGTTGTAGATCCAAGCTCACTTTGCAGTCTCCAGATAATGGGAGAGTTGGCTGCGTGGGCACTAAGCAGGAATAAATGCATCCATACCTTTTTTCTTGCTTAAATTCAGGTTGTAAAAAGAATCTGTGCACTGTTTCCTTCCCCRCAGCCATTCTGTTTCTGCTGTTGGGAGGTGCCTAGTTCTTGGTGTCCTCCCACGCAGGCGGTATCGGCCTGCGGGAGGTCCTGGCCGCTCTCTGGGCGAACCAGCGGCCGAGCGCGCCCCAGATTTGCATTTGACACCTCTGAACGCGGGCAGCCCCTCGGGGCTGTTCTCAGGCAATAGGGGCAAGCGGTTTTCCGGGGCTCCTGTCATCTGTTCCAAGTCATGAGACGCTTGAGGTTCCCTTTCTGACCCAGTTGCTCAATGCAGCACCAGATACGGGCCGAGGAGGGGGAACTTTGTTGGTTTTGCAACAGTTTTTGCTTCCCCAAACTGTGTGCAGGAATGTGGCCCATGACAGGAAGGGCACATCCGCSGGGGTGACCGCCCGGGCCGTCACAGCCCTGCTACCGCAGCCAGGCCAGGATCCTGAGGACGAGCTTTGCAAAGACACGAACACCAGCAGCTTGGTGGCAGGTTATGTGTAGACCAGCCCCGAGCGGCTGCCAGCTCCGCGGGGGCGACGTGAGCTGCTTTACCGGCTGCTTCGAATAAACCCTGCTGGGGCGCGTCCCGCCCGCCGCGCTCGCCTTCGCGTCCTTTCTTTGCATCCACACTGGAGCAAAACGCGGGCAGGGCTTCGGGCGCCTCCCTTTATGGGTTTCTCCTCCCAAGCCCTGCGAGCAGCGCGTTTCAAGGCTCGGGCGAGCGCTGCGCGGCGCCGGCGTCCGGGGCCGGGCAGGAAAGGAGTGGGGCCGAACGCGGAGCCGCCCGCGCTACCGAGCAGCGACGTTCGCCCCAACGCGCCCACAGCGCGGGCGGGAACGGGAACGGGA